CGCAATGAAATGTCAAATGCACCACCCTGTCCTTTCTTGTGATATTGAAACGATGCAGGGCTGCAATCGGGCAGGCTCGCCAACATTGTTATTTTTCAAACATGTTAGCTTTTACCTTTGGCTAAAACACAGATGCCCGTGGCCAGGTATAGCACAGCGACCTAACTTCGAAAAGTCTTGGAGCCGCGTGCTGCCCTGGCCAACGCGAACAAAGGAGAGCACCGAATGCACCTCCCAGCCGCGCAGGACAGCCACCTTGAACTGCAATGTTCGTAGAGGCCAAGCGCCGTAGCACGAGTTTATCCGCATCAGCAAGAACAGAAACCGATCCCAAATAAAACAAACCCCCGTGCCAATAGCAATACCAGACTATTTACGGCACCGATCGGCAACAACACGAGTTGCTCGACCCGGCGAGTACGCTGCCCGGCTGCCAAAGCCCGTCTGCAACAATACGAGTTGCTTAGCGACGTTAGTGGCGAGCGTACCGCCCGGCGGACGCACCGCCCGACTCCGCAGAGTCCGCGAAAATTTACAACTATTCACATATTTACACCCCGGATCGTTCTGCTGGGCATCAAAAACTCATCGGTGCTACCGTCGATTCCCAACGAACACTTCGAGTTCCGCGGCTCACGATCTCGTCCAGTGACCGCATGGCCGTCACCTTAATCGGACACGCAATCCTCTCGGGACGCAGTTCAACCTGTTGCACTGCCCGGTAGCACGATTGAACTGCTCCCGGACCCCGCGGCGTTTCCACAATTAACGTCGCTTTTACGGGGTCGCAACTCGATGGGTGGCCCTCAAGGGTTCCTAACGTTATTGTTGCGTGCGACGCTCACTGACTTTTGGCCGGAGTCGATCGCGGGTAAACGGAACATACTCAATTCTAGTAGCCGAAAACCATGCTCACGCCAGTCCTCTGTCCCTTGATAGCGGGAAGGAAAGACGGAGTAAAAAGGAAATCATTTTGACTCACTCAGTTTTCCCGGGGGGCCTTTGTTCCGGGGTCGCTTAGTCAACCTGATGGCTACTGGTCCGTCGACGCGGCGACGAAGGGCACCATCGGCGGCCTCCGCAACCTCGCTAGACTGGGACCGGTGTTGCAGGCACAGCGCATTTTCTCGCTCCGAGATACGCTTTTAGTTTGTGCGCTGACGGGGTGTCCACTCTGGGTGGGCCCCGCGAGCCGTCTCGAAGGCAAAAAGCTGCAATTGCTTCGTGTTGCGTCACCGTGCTTTGTTCGAGAACGGGCTTGACCTCGAGAAGCGCAGGTGCGCCTCCCCAGCGAAGTAGGCTGGCGTCGTCCCGAAAGGGAATGCCTCGGACGCATTCAGGCAGGGTTGCCAGGTGTTTGAACTCCAACCCGCCAAACGTCCACGAGATCTAGCCCAAAAATAGCCAAATGTCGATCCAGAAAAATAGCCCCAAAAAAACTTGTCATTTGAAACGTTTATTTTAAGCAGAAAAGACACATAATACATTTTTATCCATCAAATGCCCCAGAAATGGCGTCCCTTACACGTTCGGCTAACTTCCTGAAACGCTCGTACAAGCGCATGACAACGTACCGTTCTTCCACTGTATTGGGACGGGTGACCAGAATGACGTCACGGGAGAACTATGCAGAATTCAGACAACCTAAAGAATGCGCAGAACAGCTGCTGTTAAGGCCGCAAGGAGTCGAGCCGTCACTTGTTGAAATGGAGGGATAACAGCACATGCTTGCATTCGGAGGTAAACAATTGCACAAGGCGCGCAAAAAGAAGACGAATTTGTTTGCTGTCGCAAACTTATCGGGGTTAAGGGACTAAAGCACCAAATGTTGACGTAACTTACTCTAAAAATACATTCGAACCTATAAACCCAAGTGCTTTCAGGCATTTGGGTTCCAGCGCAGGTCAGAAATTGCCCAATGCACAGGTCAGAAATAGCCCAATGCACAGGTTAGAAATAGCCCAATACTAGCCAAATAGCCAACTACCATTTTTTCCCGCCAACTGCAAATAAAACTAGCCCAATTTGGCTATTTATAGCCCTACCTGGCAACCCTGGACGCATTCCGGGCGTTGAGTCACCTCCGTGTGGGAGGGCGTTCGGCCGAGACGCTTATTCATTGTCTCTTTGCGTGGTTGACGCGGCCACTAAGCCATTGAGTGGCATCGGGTGTTGGGCGTTCGCTTCTCCCTTTGTCCACCTGTTTGATCCTTGGCCGGAAATCGACCTGGTTCGCTATCTTAGCGAAAGGAGATAGATGCTGCTGTCTTTGCAGTCCACGGAAAGCCGCACGTTGGGGCGCCAGATGTGGGATTCGCCCTTTTGGTGAGGGGTACCACTTAGCAACACTGAGGGTTCCTTGGGTTCGTATAAAGACGTGTTTATTGACTGCAATGCCAACACGCTTCGCTCTTGGACAATGAAAAGTCTGGGCACTGGCTTAATTGCCAGTATCACCCGGTCGGTTTCCCGCGCTGCCGCATTGGACAGATTCACGGAAAGTCGGAGGCCCACAAAGAAAAACCGAGCTCCGTAGAGCCAGGGCCTCCGCCGACGAGAGCCCCCTGGCCCCCTTCGGGGCCAGCTTATGTAGCCTCGGAGAATGGACGCGCCCGGGGAGGCCACTAGCAGTCGCGTCCATTATAACTCTGAAGGGTGTGCCGAAGGCGCGTTCACCCAAATGGGCAAGGGAGAGCCGGCCCCTTCGGGGAATTCGGCCTCGTGGTTCCTTGTATCCGGGAGGCCGACGCCATTGGTGACGACGACTCCCACGGCCTGCTTGAAGCTAGGCCTGGATAGGGATAGAGGGAACCCAATGGTTCCCACAATACATATGAACAGATTATATCAACTCAAGAACAGTTGAGAACACTGTCGAGAACACACGTGAGAGCACAAGCTAGCAGCCGCCTTCTGCTGCTTTTATAAGCTGACTTGTCCCCACATCCCTAGCAGGGAATCCCCAGGGTTTATTGTTCGTAATGTCCAAGCACGCCATTTTCCTCTCCCTCTCACTGCCACGCGCGACACGCACACGGAGAAGCCAGACATCCTTGGCCGCGGTGTCGCCGGTCAATCTCGGCGGACAATGGTGCCATCGAAGTCGAGGAAGGCGGAAGACATTCATAATTGCAGGCGTCCTGGCTCCTGGCTTCCGTGTGTTAGCTAGGGGATAATCCCAAGGGCGATCTAATTTGGGGAAATTGAGTAAAGCCCCATACCTTGTCGAGGACGTCCCAAGGCTGTCGGGTCGCCGTGCATCGAGGTCATGCAGGAGAAGCAAGGAGAGGGACTGGAGGGCAAAGTCGGCTAGATGACACTGGCGTGGGTCAACCCGATGATCTTTCAGAGAAGCTCACGTCGTCCCCGTAAACCAAGGTGCGTTGGCGCCTCAAAGGCGCCTCTCGCTTTGTCTCCGGGCGCCGCTGAGCGTAGCCACCTGGCGATGATGCTCCAGGGCGTTCACCCGTGCCGGTCGGTTTGGAAGGGCAAGGTCGTCTCCTGGGGCCTTTCGCAACAGCTCCTCCGCCGCCAGGAAGAGTGTCTTGAGGGGGAGCAGTCCACACTGGTCCCTTGAAATACGCGGTCTCACGGCTGGGCTGGCGACTGAGATCCAGGCTGGAGTCCAGACTGGGAAATGGCAGTAACAAAGCCCACAACGCCGAACTACACTCCGCGCAGGCAAGCGCCCAGCACCCAATCTCTCCAGTCCACCAGACCAAAACAAACAACAATAAAACATGCCTCGTGAAATTTCCGTGCTCTTCTATTAACGAAAGACACGCAGAGAGAAACTAATTTTCTCCGACAGGTTGCTTTAGCGAAAGACACTTTTGCAGAGTAATAAAAGCCCACTTGCGCTCAACCCAAAATAAAACGGACTACCGTGAAAACAAAACCACATTACAAACCGTAACGTAACTCACATAGGGCACATCCCTATTAAATTCGAGCACGTCCTCCATAAAGCAAACTACACCAAGTATGAAATCGCTTTCAATTAACTTTACCGCCCACACAGCGAGGTAAACCCGACCGCAACGCAAAACTCAGACTCCCGAAAAAAGAAAAGCTAATAACCCAGCCGAATAACCTAGTCTACTCAATACTAAAAAATTACGTTTAGCCCTCCCTTTTCCCTCGAAAGTCCTTTGCATCTAACCTACGCCCAGTTTGCTCTTGGCCTCACTCAAACTGTTCAAGTTCTTCTCCTTGGACTGGCGTGCAGGCGCGAAGCTGCAGTCCCGGAGATCTCCCTTGGCTTCCCAGTCCGACGTGATGCCTGGCTGAACCACGGGCGATGAGCTCTGCCTCCGTTTGGAACCTCGTTCCGTCGTTCCAGGCTCGTTGTTGCCTCCTCCAGGCTCCTTTCTCGCACTTGAGCTGTGGGTCCGTGGCTCGTTGGGATGGGGTCCTGGAGCTTTCCCCTTACCAGCCACGAGGACCGCTTCTTTTTGAAGATGCGCTCGTCACGCTTCCCTGGACGCTTTTTGCAGGGATCGTCGCTGCCAGATCGTATGACGCTGATCCGGCGCTGCCGCTTCCTCATGGGTCTCGGTCGCTGGCTCGTGACGACATCCGAGTTCTCGGTCTCAGGACCACCTTGCCGCGGACACGACGATGTCTTCAGGTGCACTTGTGTCAGGTCTGCTTTGTCCCGCCCGGGCTCCATCGTGACTGTGAAGGGTCCCTTGCTAGCCCAGCCGCCGAAGGTTGCAGGTCCCCTGGGATAGCCGACTTGGGGTCTCCCGTCCCACAACCTCGATGACGACTCGCTGCCGAACACGTACTCGTCGATGTCCTCCTTGCACCTGGACTCCGTAAATGGTCTGGAGTCCGGGCTCCGCAACCGCACCAGGCCGGTGTGGTTGATTTCGTCGAAGGAAATCCCAATCACCTACCTCCTGGTGGTCCGCTTGGACTCCTGTGCCGGCGCCGTGGGCTTGATCCCAAAGACGCACGGGTGCCGAGCAGAGCGGTCAGGATCCTGACTTGTTTACTTAACAGCCGTTTCCTGCATCTCGGCGCTGCTCTCCATGAGCTGGCTGGGCTACCCCCAGCGTTGTCTCTGTCTTGGCGTCGCCTTCGTCATCCGGGAAGCCGCCGCTGGACGCCCGAAGAGCCTTCTCTTCTTTCCTGTGATCCTGATCACTCTCAGCCTCCCGCAGCTCAGCTGTTGGGTAGGTCTTGTGTGGAACGGCGTCGGTCTTCCGTGGAACAGCGTCGGTCGCGTTGGAGGAAACACGCTGGTTTCCGGTCACCTCGGTGTCCCCAGCTTCCATTTTCCTCTTTTCCTGACACACCACTTCTGTTGCTGCTTCCACGTCACTTTCACCGTCCCGCCGCTCGGAGTTCGGGTCGGACTTGCGAAGAACGGCGACGGTCGTGTCGGGAGAGAGACGCTGGTCTCCGGTCAACTCTGTGTCCCCAGCTTCCACTTTCTCCTTTCGCTGACACGCCTTCCCTGTCACCCCTTCAACGCCTGTTGCCGCCCGAAAAAGAGCCTCTAACTCCCGCGCTTTCTTCGCGAGCTCGAGCTGCTCGAATTCGTAGTCGAGCCGCTCCATTTCGCGCTTATACTCGCGTTTCTCGAGCTCCCATCTTGACCTTTCTAAAGCATCCGCGTCGGCCCGCCTCCTGCGTTCCTCCTCTTCGGCCCGCTTTTTGCTCTCGAGCACATCCAGTTCCCTTCCGCGAACCTCCCCCAGAGCCTCTGTGAACTCCTCAACGCTGACCTTTTCGGCCTCAATAAGTTCTATATTGTGCGGCTTTCTTTTTCTCTGCCCGAAATCTATTCCTAACTCGGTACAGACCTGTACCAACTCATACCAGCGGAATGCCTCCAAACTCATGATCTAGCTTGTGTTGACTCCCTTTCTTACAAAAATGCTCGCATTAGAACGGTCACACAGTCCTAACAACGACTATCTCCAACCCCCATAGGCAAAACTTAGAGCTAATGGGCCTGGCAGATTGAGAAAGAAAAGGGCCGGGCACTCACCCACACAAGAAGTCATGATGCGGCGAAGTCGATCCCGCCGCTGCCATCCAGTTGTTGGGAACGCGTGGTTGTCCGGGGACTTTGTGTGCAGCAGGGAGCCGAGCCAGGGCAGGAACACATGTGGTAGCCGGACTCGGGAAGGACCAGAGAGCAGGAGGGGTGTCTCTTACATAATATAACTCTTTATATATATACATATCAACAGATTACATCTACTCAAGAACACTTGAGAACACTGTCGAGAACACACGAGAGAACACAAGCTAGCAAAAAAAATTGGTTTGCTCTTTATGTTTATACAGCCCTGATGGAGATGCGCCTCAACGGGTAATCGGTCTCTTAGCTGTAGATGAGAAATTTGGCCAGTGCGGTACAACCGCTAACCTGGGGTTTTTAACGTGCATCACGCAGTAGGGATCACACGAACCAGTGCCAATAGGAAACTCATCCATATCGAAACGGGCGGGGGCAAGCTTTCGCTCCACGCTCCGAGCTGAGACGCGTTTGCCCACTCGGCCACTTCCTCCCCCACAAGCTAGCAGCCGCCTGCTGCTGCTTTTATAACCTGACTTGTCCCCACATCCCTAGCAGGGAATCCCCAGGGTTCATTGTTCGTAATGTCCAAGCACGCCATTTTCCTCTCCCTCGCACTGCCACACGTGACACACACACGGAGGGGCCAGACATCCTTGGCCGCGGTGTCGCCGGCCAATCTCGGCGGACAATGGTGCCATCGAAGTCTTGGAAGGCGGAAGACATTCATAATTGCAGGCGTCCTGACTTCCGTGTGTTAGGGGATAATGCCATGGGCGATCTAAGCTGGGGAAATTGAATAAAGCCCCCTCGCTTGTCGAGGACCTCCCAAGGCTGTCGGGTCGCCGTGCATCGAGGTCAGGCAGGAGAAACAAGGAGAGGGACTGGACGGCAAAGTCGGCTAGATGTCACTGGCGTGGGTCAACCCGATGATCCTTCGGAGAAGGCCACGTCGCCTCGTAAACCAAGGTGCATTAGCGACTCAAAGGCGCCTCTCGCTTTGTTTCCGGGCGCCGCTGAGCGTAGCCACCTGGCGACGATGCTCCAAGTCGTTTACCCGTGCCGGTCGGTTTGGAAGGGCAAGGTCGTCTCCTGGGGCCTTTCGCAACAACATGTTCAATCTTGCTCCTTCAGATTGATTTCGTCCTTAAAACAACGAAATTAATACATTTGTAAGTTACATGGAAACTTGTACACGTTCAATTTACACGGTCAGTCTTCGTTGTCAATGCAAGTAGAACAACGTGTCGCCAAAATCAAATTACAGCATTGGTTCACCGCTTAAAACGATCAATGCATTGCCGAACTCACTCTCCGCACAAATGCAGCCGTAGCAATCCGGATCAGATGCAAAGTTTCAAAACTATTCATTACCTTATTCAAACTGAGTTATCATACTTTTCTTAAATATTAAAATATAATGCGGAGCCCGTTCCGGTAAGTTAGGCCATTCGACTGCAGTCATTGATGGGCTTTGACGGCCGACATTTTCCAAGAAAATATTAAAAATCGCGCCTTAACTTTTGAATTATGTAATGAAAAGCTTAGAAACTTCAGCATTGGGTCCGAAATACTACTGCTCCAGTTGGACTGCTACGGTTAGAACAAACTTAACACTCAGGTCAACTGAGCTTAACATGTCAAAACCGCTAGATCCAGTCTTGTGCTTCTATAGTTTGACTTGGCTTAACATGATTAGAATAGTGCTAGGTGCTTATTCGCACTTTGATTACACTGAGCTGCGAAGTAGTATAAATAACAACACAAAGAGAATGACAGCACGTCAACGAGGATAGTGAGCATTCGAGACTGCGTCGTTTCTTTTCAGGTGAAGGAATAAAACACTGTAAATTTCTGTTCGGCTTTGTAGTTTGTGAGTGCTAGTTTTATGCAAAATAAGTGCAGAAATGCGGTATCTGGTGTGTTTCTATGTCCACCAAATTATTTTAAAGCAGGGTGACCTTTATTTATGAGCACGTGCAGTTATTCATGAACCGTTTGCTGTATTTAAATAACATAAGAAAATCACCGCACCAAAACCAACATACGCAGACTTTTTTTCAAGGGGACTAGGAGAGAGAGGCTTGATGCAGGAGGCGGGGGAAGGGAGGGGGTGCCCCATACCGTTTAAAACAGGCATCTATCATTATGTTAATTGCATTTTCATTATTGTTGAGGAGTCCCAGATTCCCTGGCGTACCGCAACGCATGTCGAGAAGTGCAGAACTGTGTGCTACTGGGCCTATCTCATTTGAACCTCTCACAGCAGTGGTGCATCCCAGTCAACATCAAGTTCCCAGAGTCTGGAACAGTAACTTGGCTGTCAAGGGAACTCGGAGCAGGATTCATAAAGGGGTCGTAAATTAGAGGCAATCAAAAAACAGTGAATCGTTTCGTGTTAATGTTCCGGGCTAAGAACTTAATGTGGGCCGCTTCAGTAACTACCGGTGTTTTTTTTTTCTCATTTCCTATAAGCCCCAAGAGCCCTGAGATGTTTGTTGTGGGGCATCCAACTCGGTTTAAGACACAATTGGTTCCTTCATCGTCAAACAGCTTTTGTAGCTTCTTTGAATTAATGTTTCATTTATATATTGACATTCCTAGAGGTTTCATGACATGTAACGTTTGTCTACAGAACTTGCAGGATTTCCCTTCACACTACCCACGTAGAAGGATGAAAGCATGCACTGGTTCAACAAAGGGTATTTATTAATTGACTGTCATTAAACGTGCGCGATGACCCAAAGGCCCTTGCTTGTAATTCTTCGCAGACTTTTTATCCACGACAGAGTTCCCACGAGTGAACGGTAGAACTTCGCCACCTCGCGGTGGAGGTAGCCAAGAATTATTTAACATGCTGGCTACCTGGTCGAACGCATCGTGCCACCAGGTTGTCCACAAACCGTTCTTGTATCTAATCAGAGGCTGCGCCAATGATGAGATCATCAACGTAAAGTCCCTCAGTAAGGTTCTTGATGAGTTGTAGATGGGGGTTCCTCCTCGATGGTGTGGAGGAGGATGGCTTGCGTTGAACGGTGGCGGTGGTGTAGCAGGTCAGGCCAGACAACTGTTTACGCAAATTACTTCTTTGGAGCAGTTTAATAAAACACAATTTAACATACGGGATACAGGAATACAAACACCGACAACACTAGCCCCGGACTTGGCCGCCGTTAGAGAGCGGCTCTTTTCTCTCCAACGGTACCGAACCAAAGACCCCCTCCTTTGTCTCGCTTGTGCTCTTATCGAGAGCCAGCCTGACCCTGTTTCCCATTTTCTCGTGGGGGTCAACATTCTCGTCCGGCGCTCCGAGCCCAGGTCTAGACAGCGTTAGGCGTAGGAGGCGAAGACGAGTCTGGCCCTCAGACATGACAAGTCACTCCTGGCACTCCGAACACCGGCTGGAGGGACAGGTGCCGACAGACGAAGCACAGCGCCCGATAGACTTCTAGGAAAGCGACCGGCACTTGTTAATGGGAAGTGACAAACGGCTCTCCAAGCAAACAACTCCAAGCGGTGGCACTGGTCGACTACCAGAGAAAAACACTTAACCGCAGAGCCTCCCTAATGCAGGCAGCCGAGCGGGGCGCGGAACGCGCCGCGGCCTGTTCCCAAGTAACGGGACACTTGCACCGCAAAGGGGGCTGCCCGCCCCGCGCACAAACTTCTCCCTTCCAAAGGTCGTAAACACCCCCTGGTGAACCCCACACGTCTTCCCCAAATCGTTCGCGCAGGGCCTCCAGACGAAGTAAGACAACAAATAAAAAGGTTCCGGAACCTTACACCCTCTTTAAGTTTTTTTTTCTGCCTCTGGATAGTCGCCTGTCGTCCACAAGTGCTGACGTCCGTCTCTCAGAAGAAACGGGCTGCTTGACACTCCAAAAAGCACCTTCGTCTTCCTCTAAACATCTATCAGAGGGTTTGGCCGTCGCATTTTTGTCACACCAGAATGATCAAAAATCGTCACAATATTTATGTATCAAGAAGAATTGTATAAGTGCCTTTCCAATGCCTTCGCTGAGACAAATGCGACGAATGCGACAGTTTAGTATCACTTTCAGAAAATACTATTAAAGTTAGCTGCACGCTCTAATGGCTACATTCAGAGAGACCGATCCTGCTTCGCTTAATGAAGCGTCAACCACCCCTCTGACTTACTTTGAAGGTGGTTTGTCCGTTGTACAGCACTTTAAGGAATATAATACACTCCGCTTTCTGTCTTGTCTTCTGATGTCGGGGAAAGGTTTACTGCACTCCTTTGTTCGGGATACTTATAGATAAAGTCATCGTTCTTAGTCAGTGTCACCTTGCCCTTCATCAGTTTACTTATGGCGCCGTACAAACGCTGCCTTCCAAGTACCTTGTTGCTGTTCAGCTGAACGTATATTGGCTTCTAAGAAAACACCACCTGATATATTTCGTCGACAAGCTTGGTGAAGAATTTGAACGCTCTACCCACTTATTTTTGTCCTCTTGTGTTTGGGAGAGGATAAGATCGGTGACGCCTACTTTCCCCAGCTCTCAAATTAACCGAAGCTCGGGGGGCCTTGAGTGCGAGTTTTTACACAAAGTACTGCGGCTGTCAAATTGGTGGAAGCAAAACTGGCGTAGGGAATCGATCACGAAAATGCCCACCCAAAGATGGTGTTGACCTAAATAAGAGCACGTTACAGTTCCTCAAGCTTACCAAAGTCCAGCATCCAATAATACCCAACCGAAAACAAAAAAATTCAAACGGTTCGATTCGTTTAAAATTTGAACAGATCGACCCGTTCAGGTCTTATCATTTTACGGGATAGGAATACCCGTTTAATCCTT